CTTGGGTGAGGTGCGCGCCTTGCAGCCGAACCATGAATCTCGCTTGGAAGCGATTGAGCGGGCAGAGAAGGCACGCCAGAAGGAGCTGGAGACTCGCCGTATCGGGCTTTTCCAGAAGGAGCTCGGAGCGTTTGTCGAGGAAGGCAAGTTGAAGAAGAGTGGTGGTGTGGAGGAGGCCGAAAGACTCCGTCGGGCCAAAGACGACCGCATTCGCAAGGAGGTCTGGGAGAGACAACAGGCCAGGGCGGCCGAAATGGAAAAGGCAGAAGCAGAAGCCGCTGAAGCGCAAGCGGAGCAGGCTGAGGAGCCAGCCGAAGACGCAGAGGCCGCAGCAGAGGCGGAGCCTGATGCAGACGTGGCTGAAGAGGCAAATGCTGAGAAGGAGGACTCTGGAAAGGAGGAGGAAGTAATTATGGTCAAAGGAAAGTCTCCGGTTCCGGAAGACTCGGATGAAGCAGAAGAAGAGAATAGGGAAACGTTCCTTGATGCCGAGGAGAACGAGGATACTGACAAAGAAGCAACCACTGCGCATGAACAGAAGCCGGATCATGAGCAATAGGGATACGGCTCTGTTGACCGTTCCGCGGCCAACATTCTCAGTGCGATACTCGTCCTCTCCATCATCTACATCTTGTATCTAGCCTGAGTTGTCGGGCTGCCCTCTTTTGGACCTTTCTCCTTTGTCATTATCACCAATGCGTCCACCCTCGCTAATTATTTCCTTGAACTGTCTGTTTCCCTGTGTTTGCTATATTTTCTTGTCGCGTTCGCTCAGTTCCAATCGCAAGAACTGGAGCTGCAGCCTTGCCTGTTCGCATATCGACGATACCCTGCCAGCTTGTGGCCTGTTATGACTATTGATGATATACAGGAGGGTCAGGTTATCTTGGTCTATCCTGCTTTGCTGCTGTTTCAGACGAGGTTGATTGATAGAAGCGTTCATTTTTTTTCTTTGCATTAATATAATCTTAGAATTTTTAATGTACCAAGCTTCAAGAGCGTCGCATTCCTACACCATGTCCTAGGACGAGCTTTAGACCAACGATTATTCTCGCCTTCCCACCTCCCGAATAGACCCGAAGCTGTAGATCTACAACGAATATGTAGCCTTAGTATCATGATTGTTGTTGCAGTGTTTCCCAGCAATAAGAACCAACTTAACTTAGTATACTATCTTCAACCCCAGGCAACATTGCCATTGAGTAATTATACACACAGCACTTGCTTTCCCATCAAACTACCACCTTCGCTAAACCGTAGACCAAAAAGCCTAGTACTACTGGATGTGTGATCTCCATATTTTGAACAATCAATAACCTCCAACGGCTACAACAAACACAGTGACGCTTTTTCCCATCTTAATTTCCTATTCATCATGAGAAAACCCCCACCATATCTATCGAGATTTGGGATAAACATAAGTAGGAATTGAACATCCTCGTCGCCATCCCGTGAAAGTGATGTTAGTTTCAAGGTAAACTGATTAATAGTACTATCATATATCGATGATCTATATACTGCAAGTCGAACCAGCATACTTTCTACATGGTTGCACTGAGTAGTTACATGATTAAGTCTTCTGTAATTATATAATTCCGTTGATTGATATATCTAATTAGTTAGTAATAGCTAGCTATGACAACTCATTTCATGAGGTAGTATATTCTGTGTATTATACGGCTAATTTAATTGAAGATGATACTACCATGAAACCGTTGGTTCATCAATATACATAACTAGTATGACTATGAGCAGTACCCTAGCAACCACAGCACTTCCATCACACTTGCGTTTCACCTGTGATCACAAGATTTGGATTCTTCCGTCCCCTTGGATTCCTCTGTCCCCGTGTCTTCCTCTGCCTCCGTGTCTTCCTCCTTGGAGCCATGCTCTTCGTAATCAAGCCCGGCGCACCGACCGCAAGACGAAACGGTGGCTCTAGCCCTTCTTTCCTTGCCCTTTCATCTCTCTCCTCACTCCCTCCATCATTATGAGCATCAACCGAGACCGTAGAAGAATATGGCGGAAGCTCAGCCAACTCAATTCCTGAGGAGGAACTAGGACCCCCCTCCGCCCACCGATCCAACGGCGAGCTATCCCTGATATTACTATACTCTCCATCTCCTCCTCCTCCTCCTCCTCCTCCTCCTCCTCCTCCCTGCATCATCGCACTACCACCAAGTACAACACCCACAAGCCCATCAAAACGACCAAGGTCCTCCAAGTCCCGCTTATCCGTATCCCTCATGCCCGCAAAGCGCACATGCTTCTCACGGTGTAGTTCCGCACCCATGCGCAGCATGGCAAAAGCATCGAGAGTATCCGTCCAGGTAGGGACGGAGTGGCAGTAGACCACAATCAGACATAGACCCAGTATCTGCAAGCCAATCAGGATGGTTATGACTATCACCCCCGCTAAGCTCCACTTAGGCTTGACCAGCACCGTTCCACTATCAAAGTAGATGCTTCGCGAGTTATACGACCCGTCCTGCGTTGCTATGCTGGTTAGCACGGCTTCATTAGCGAAGTAGGTTGCCATGTCTAGTGCTGTAGCGGCTGCTTGAGTATCGTTGAACGAGGAAACCCAGATGTAGATCATGCTCATGAGGGATTGGTACCAGGTGTCGTCGCTGTAGCGGTCTATATTCAATAAGAGATTGTCGCAGGTATCTCCGGCGATGCTGAAGCCGGCGAGGGTGAGTCGGGTGAATGGTAAGGCGTCGGTTTGGCAGATGGAGAATAGTGCGGATCTGGTGGTGTTGGTGGTGATGGCGTAACTGGCGGTGTTGAAGAAGCTTTGGTTGCCGAATAGAGCCAAGGCGCTGGTCATTAGTGGACCGGCTGCGTAGAGCTCTACGTCGTTGAAGGGATCGGGTAGGTCAGAGAGGCTAATGGTTGCTGTGTCGTTGTCACTGGTATATAGTACTGTCGGTTAGTAGGCTATCCTCCAGTGATTAGATTAGAGGGTTGTCTTACACAACCGATGGAATGGCATAATCGTCGTCGAATCCCAGATAGTCATTGAAATCATGCTTCAGGACCTCCTGACTGGGCCATTTCTCAAGAAGAGGTCCCGGATTGTTGCCATTCTTGTAGTTGCTGACTTCGAAGTACCCCCGAGTGGTATTTGTAGTACATTTCAAAGTGAAGTTGAATGGTTCGAATAAGAGATAATCTGCGATTTGCTGAACGACATCAATCCACAGCTCCTCTGAGATATCCTGGCGGTCCCGACTCCGAGTCCAAGGTGTTTGACCGAACGTGCCGGGCGCGCAGATTCGAATGTCGAGTGTATCAGGGGCAGTCAGGTTAGTTACAAAAGGCCGGTCCCCCGAGCACGTCTGCGGGAAGTCGGATGAATGCACCGCTTCACAGGCGGACGATGAGTTCAACCGGATGGCATGTTGGCGCAGAACACCGGTATTGGTTCCATTTTGCAGTGCAGATACGAAATACCGGTCCGAACCGAAATTTTCTTCATACCATAGGAATGTTCCCCTCAAAATAGCCTCAGCGTCGTCGTCGATTGTTGTCCATTGCTCCGGCCATAGGTAAGGTTGCACGTCGAGCTCGCCTACCAGCTGCGTTTTCTTGGCTACCTGCTGGACAGCAAGACTCTGGGGCATGGACTCTAGAGCGGCAGGTTCTGGGTCAAGGCCCACAACTGTGACGATGTTCGATGGGTCGCATGTCCAGACCGGCATCTCCCAGCATGTGGCAATGGTGATATCCTCATATTTGATCAAGATTGACTGAATAGCAGGGGTGACTGCTACGAGCAGAACGAACAGCCCTCCAAAAATGGCAAATGGGGATCCATGGCCATCCAGTGGTAGACTGCGAAACCATGACCTCACGTTGGCCCAGGGGCGATCCGCTAGAGCAACAAGTTGTCGGAGGGACAGCTTCTGATTAGGCGAACGTCGCTGCGTGTAGACAACGGCCGCTTGGGCCAGGAAACCGGAGACGATGGGAATGGCGAGGACGGCCTGTAGCTTTTCAAGCACGAGGACGAATTCAATGCTGACGAGAATATCCAGAACCACGGCTGCCGACTGACCAAGGCCCTGGCGAGTATAGGAGGCGGCGTCTAGAGGACGCACCATCATGACACAGGTCATGATCCAGGGAGCGAGTAGAATAGCAACATAGAAAGAAAGAAGACACAGTGACTTCCTCGTCCGATACCGCAGAGGCTCCAGGATCGGACTTGGCTTATTTGAGTTCCTTTGGGCATTCACAGCCACTTGAGGGGGGCTGTTCATGGTAGCCATGATGTATAGCCCGCAGGCGAAGAGAATGGAATCTTGACATTTTCGCAAAGACGGGCTTGCTCAGGGGTCGTTTATATCCATTGTCCCACTCAGGGACTTTTATCTCCTCGTGGCCGCAGCAAAATCAGCTATTGGGCCTCACGGAGGTTCTACCTGCAAGGCTGACAGACCATGAACGCTCGTGAACTGAGCTATACATGCAATCTAAGATTAAAGAAGCCAAGCTCATGGTGCCCCAAAACCCTAGCGTCTAGGCGAGTGTGGTTGGATGGTTCCGAGTGGATAAAGGTCAGCAAACTCGGCCGTGAGGCCTGTTTTCATCTTAGTCTGTCTCGCTATGGCCTCTCACAGCATCGCTTCGTTCCGACAGACCCGCAAACTAAGGGTGTACAAATTAGCAAACCCCTGCATGTTACGCTATAAACGCTTTGTTGGTCGTATCATGTCACGAGATATAGGGAAAGGAAGTCAGAGTTCAGGATATAATTCCGGCTATGCGGGTATAGCCTATCACATGTAGTAAGCATTCGCTATCTTTAGTACTATTTTATATGTTATCTCGACAACTACTCTTCCAATCATACCACTTGATCTTTCTGTGCCCTCACAGACCTCTCCTGCGAGAGGCGCTAACCAATCAGCCAATGATATCTTCCTTGCTACTAAATTACCTTGTCTCGTAATTTCTCCCTCAACCTTCTGATGTCGCATTACTCCATCATCAACCTAAACCTTCCATGAAAGCTCGAGGAATCTCCGCAAGGTCATAGTTTTGATATCCGGGAAAGTCTCATTGAGAGTGCTGACAGGTCTGAGGTCAAGCTCATTTCCGATAATCCACAACCCAGTCTGAGCAAATAGTTGCTTGGTCATTTCTTTGCCCACTACAGCAAAGGTGGTCTCGTAGCAAGGTAATTCCGTGACCTGTCCTGCTTCTAATTCTTCCTTAGAGTCATAGGTGATACGGAACTTGGTACCTGACATAGACTCATTAGACAAGTTACGATGTATGCCCAGCATAAAGATTGTACATACCTCTCGCCTCTTCAGCCATATTTACAAAGTCATGAATCGTAACCCTATCACCGATGAAATAGCTTTCCTTTGGCCAGACCGCAAGATCGAGGATGCGGACAACGAATCTCGCAATGTCCAGAACCCGGGTGAGCACGACGGCTTGGTCTCCAGATCCGGGTTTGGCTGCCACGTTGTTGGCTATATCAACAAACATCGGAAAGAAACCGACGTTGGATTTGAGCAGAGGAGACCCGTAGAAATCCATGAACATGCCGTTGTAGACAGCAGTGTGAATTAGGATGTCTTCGCCAGTTCCTCTAGCGCCTCTGTTTTGGATTTGGCGACCTCGGGATACCTAGAAGACAAAGGTCAGCTTTTTCTCCAACCGCCCGAGTACTTGGGGGACTATCGCTACTAACTTGGTGGGATATGCGAACCCGGCAAAAATGCTGGGGATAAATCGCTTTGTCGTAGAGGAGTTCTCCGCCGCGCGAATAAGGTTCCTTTCTGGTAGAGAGCTTCCATATGCGTTGATGGTACAGATCACGTCGCTGACTTTGTTTTCTTCGAGAGCCTCTGTCAGGTTTTGTACGTTGTCATAATCAACAACGACCAAACGAGCTGGTAGCTTCTCGTCTAGACTAGGAGTACTCTTCGTAGTGTTAGCAAGGCAATTTTCCTGGTTCTGCTGAAAATGTCACTCACCTTTCGACTGAGTATGACCACATTGTGCTTGCCATGGATGGCCAATGCTTCTGCAATGGTTAGACCAAGACCTTTAGTTCCACCGGCGACGGCAACCGTAGTATTAGTGGTAGTGGTAGCAGTCATGATTGTAGAGTATCAATTCTCGATATGTGAGTGATATTGAGTATATTGACAAATGATGTTAGAACTATACCTTATCATGTCGCAAAGCAATTGCTATTTAGATACTTGGGATATAGCCTTGACATATGCCATCATTACAAATCAGAGCCCTTCTTTCTAGCATTTTGCTAGTACCATGATGTCCTGAAGTGTTGAAGATGGTCGGATCGAGTTGGATCCTGGAAGGATGATGAGACATAATACTTCCGAGCGGACCAACCCTCCTCCGTGATCCGATCATCTTTTCCGCCATCCGGCCGCTTGAAGGATCGAAGGATTGAAGGATGATATTTCCTAACCAATGACATGATCATAAATCTGTACTTCTTTGTATATTGACGAAATAATACAATATTTGATAGCATAACTTCTTACGACTCTCTCTATCTAGATTTGGCATACAACAATCTTCATTCATGTTGATATCAAAATGAAATGGAAGAAAGAAGAGGAAATATAGTATCATTTGGTCAATCATATTATTGTACTACACGAGCTGCTTATAAAGTAAACCTCCAAGATGGCTTCTATCTGGAAGAAGCAACCTAGGGGAGTCAACTGCCAACAAGCAAAAAGGATCATCATTACTCGCATATAATTTCGTATGCCTTGGATCCCACTGATATCCTACTCACTCAGATACACTCTGCGGAGGTGGATTGGTGACCATTGTAAAGAATGTCTCTCCTTACACTTACGCAGCGGGTGATGGAATGTGCCTCTGCGTTGACTATAAGAGCTATTCAAATGTAGACATGGTCTCACTAGAAGCATTCCATCAGCCCCAATTCCCAAAATGGCCAATGACAAAATTAGCCAGGCCACCTGCGAAGAGAACCATGGGTCCTCAGCCACAATTCCAGTTGTCATCGTGGACTTCGATCCTCATGAGCATCCGCATCAATGACCCGGCTATCGGAAATATACCATCCTCCTGACGGTGACTCTGCCCATCTTCCTTATGCCCCTGACATCAACCATCATTGCACCAGCTCTTGATGCCATTTTGACTTCCATGTTACTTCAGATGTCAAGGGCTCTCTGACAGTATTCCAGTTCCTGCTCATTTACTGTCTGGGCCCATTGGTGCTAGCACCTCTTAGCGAAGTGCTCCGCCGCGTTCCCATTCAGCAGTCAGAAAATGTCTTCTTCCTCGCTTTCAATCTGGCCGCGGGTTTCTCAAAAAGCAATAACCCAGCTCTAAATATTCCGCCTGTTGAGCGGACTAGGCGCCAGTGCTTCATTAGCTGTACTCTCCCAAATCTCCCTCCATCAACCCGCACCCCCCATCGCTTTCGCTAACAGAAGCATATCTAAACCGGCGTCAGCACCACCGGTGATATCTTCCCCCAAAGAACAGCGCGGGCTAAGCCTTGCCCTTCTTAACATGGGTCCCGTCCTCGGCTCCTGCCTCGGCCCCATAGCAGGCGGCTACATAACAGACTACTCAACCTTACGATGGGCCTTCCACGCAACCTCAATATTCGCCGGTGTCATAATCCTAACCTCACTATGTCTTTCACGCGAGACCTACGCCCCAGTCCTCCTCCGCCATAAGAAACAAGCTCTCCAACTTACCCCAGCCTACAAAGGCCTCACACTCCTCACCCCATACGAGCAAGCCACAAACACCAACACACCTTCCACCACCAAATCCCAAACCCTAACAACCCTCTACCACCGCACCCTCTTCCGCTCTCTCCACCTCCTCCTCACCCAACCCATTGTCCAAGCCCTCTCCCTCTACTACGGCTACATCTACAACCTCGTCTACCTCGTCTACCTCATCCTCTCGACCATCCCCACCCGATGGAAAACCCAATACCACCTGCCCGCCAGCACCGGCTCCCTGCACTACCTCGCCCCATGCATCGGCTACCTCCTAGGCGCACAAATCTGCGCCCTAGTCTCAGACAAGATCTACCTGCATCTCAAAACCTCCAACCACGGCATCGGCAAGCCCGAATTTTCGCCTCCCACTCATGATCCCCGCGAGTCTGCTCGTCCCCATCGGCTTCTTTATCTACGGCTGGTCCGCACAGTACAGAAACCCACTGGATCGTTCCAGTTATCGGTATTGCTCTGCCGCTCATGGGCGCTACTGTCATTCTCCAATGTACGAGCGCGTACCTCCTCGAAGCGTATAGTGTGTATGGGGTGAGTGCGAATGGTGGAGCCTATATCCTGCGGGGCTTGACGGGGTTTGGATTCCCGTTGTTTAGTCCCATTATGTATCGCGTGCTGGGATATGGATGGGGAATATAGCCTTTTGGGGTTTGTAGCGGTTGTTATCGGGTGTCCTATTCCGTGGGGTGTTGTGGTGGTTTGGGGAGAAGCTGAGGAGGAAGAGTAGTTTTGCGGATGAGGTGTGACGATGATGACGATGATGATGATACATACGTAGTTATCCATCGCCCCTTGATTCGGGGAGTGGGTATTGTGTACTACATTATCTGCAGGAGGTTGTTATCGTTGTTATTGATTTTGACCCTCCGTAATCAATCATAATGTAAGTTGATCTCATCTTTCAGCGGATCTTTACTATTGTTGTATTCAAATGCAATCCATGGCATTAAAATTCCAGGCTTTGGCGGTTCCTGAACTTAAAAGGTAGGGCTAGAATTGTGCGGTGTCATCTAAACTCAGTACTAAACTTCTCACCCCCCTTCCAACGGCCTTGCCTAGTCAAACGAATCAAGCATACATGATCTGCAATGAATTAAAGCATAATCTGCGACATGACGCGGCGTGGAATGTGCCCTACGTCGATCATTTTCAGCCGTTTCTTAGTGCTAATCTCACCGCCCACATAATTTTTTCAAACTATGACGTAGTGGCCATTGAATAAAGGATAGATAGTACTGATCGTAACTGTCATGATTAGAAAGATAGATACAGCAGAGTCATCTATAATACTTCTAAAACTATGCATATGAACCAAAGGCGTTGCGCATAATAACCATCAACTCATCACTCTTCCATCCGAATAATCTCCTGGATCATGTCATAACGGATCTTCTCATTCACATAGCTATCTCGCTGGTACTCCTCGTGACCGGTCACGAATGAGCGCATCCACTGGGCTGGCGTCGGAAGCTCTCCGCTGGCTCGTTTACTGATCACATCTAGGTAGGGCATGATCTTCTTTTGATCCATCACGGGCGTGTTGCTGTACTGAAGATAAGCGCGCACGATGTTCACCAGTCCAGGGAAACCGGAGGGCACCTTTGGATCTTCGCCATTGATGATCTCATCAGCCGTGAGAAGCGCACATGACGGTGATGCATGTGCAGTAGATTTTGAGCAGCAGTTAACACAGCCTCTCCGCTGACGCTGGGGACGCTCGCACTGCTCTGCGGATGACCATCCGGTCCGGCGGAACCAGAAGCGCTCTTCAAGGGCAGCATTGCGCTTCTGTGCCCGTTCCATGGAGTCTCCCAGCTGGTCGATAGGCACATAAAAGTTCAAGTGAAGTTCCGTGATGGCTCGAGAAAGAAGGTACATGAAAATGGCGAAAGCAGCGTTGTCGAAATCGGTCAATTGTACTTCCATCGGTCGGAACTCTACCCGCCAGCCGGGTCCATCATCGGTTAAGGGGATCTTGAGTCGGACATGTTGCCATACAGTGCTGTAGTAGACGTCAAATATGCCCGTACTATTTAGATCAAAGTTTTCCAGGTCTGTTCGGTTGAGCACAATTGGGTCCCTCGAGAGGATATTGGCATAGTGCATCGCCAAAGGTTCGTCCATGCCGCCATCTAGTAAGCGTTGTTTGACCGACTCATTCATGGGAGTCAGCGGAGATTTGCTTTCGAGATTGGCAGGCTTCTCTTGCGAGATGTATGTGCGGTTCCAAGAATACCGTGGTGGCTGCATTGCATGAGTTAGTCAAGCCAAGAAACTTTAGGGTGTGCATAATACCGTCGTGGCTAACTCTTCCGGAGTACGATCGTCAAAGCATTCAGAGGTTCGGCCCCACCGCACTTCTGTATCTACCAGATAACCCTTAAACATCGGCGTGGCAGCAGTAAGTGCTAGCATAACCGGCCCCAATGCGATCATTTGGTCATGCAACCATCGCGCTTCAATTTCATTAGGAGCCTGGAACGTAACCTGAATGCAGCAATTCCCGACCCCGAGACCGATCCCATCCAGATGGACATGGCCCTCTTTTCCATTCCCGGGGGGATGCTCTGCGGGGTATTCAAAAGACACAGAAGTGTCATGAAAAGGTGTTTGCGTCTGCTCATCTCGAAAGATTGGAATGTAGCTCTCGACACGCCGTTGTCGCCGTGCCAGCAAGTTCTCTGTCATCATTATATAGCGCGGTATGGGACAGCAGATTTGTTCAAGAGACTCTTCATGCGGACTTTCTGGGAGTGTGAACTGTCCCTTTTCACCTAAGCCAGGGAAGACACACAACGGTACAGGGTGTTGGTCGGGCGATAGAAATTGCCCGATCAATTCCCGTCTAATAAAGTCAGCTTTATGTCTATTTTTTCGCGAGATTCAACATACCGTCGCTTCATATTGCCTTGAACCCTGAGTAGGTCCAGAATATCGCCCCCGTATGGCTCTCCTGGAGTTGCTTCAACCATATGTCGAGCCCATTCCGCCTGTAACTTGACTTCATTCCAGGGTTCACTATTATGTCTCAGTATACTGTCTTTGCCAGTGTTACTAAATACTTACACTTCCTCAGCTTTAGCACATTGTTCTTCTTCTTTTTGTAGGATGTATTCTTGGTTAAGAAGCAGTGTTGCTCGCGACCTGTTTGCGTCAAGGCTGACCAGGGTATATTCAATCTGTCGAGTCAGCGTCTCCTTCGATATAACTACAGCAGGTGATGTCTTACCTCGTCACCCCATAATGGTTCAAGATCGCTTCTATTCTTTTGCCTCTTCCATAGAGATAGCAATTGCTTTTACCGTTAGCGACATGCATTTAGAAGGTTTATAGGAAGCACTTACCTCCACGGCCCCTTGACGAGCAATAGGTGCAACTTGCTGAAGCTCTTGCCATGAAAGCGGTGTTCCGCTCACCCTGCTGGGAGGTTAGACACGTACTGTCTCAAGTGCGACAACGGTGGAACATACGGTGGACCCATTTTCAGTAAAGTATATATATGATATGAAATGGACTTGTTTGTTAGAAGCGTATAGGTATGATGGTGGGTTATTGAGCATCATTATATAGCTTCTCCAAAATGCAAGTAAAGGGAGTAATCTAAGACCTTGACTATACGCGTCGTCGTCGATCATAGTAGCGCGACAATCCATGGCTTGGCTGACAGCAGTATGCTGCCTCGTACGTAATGCTCGTGGGCAGCTGAAAGAGGTCATGGATGACCAATCATGCATTCTCACAATATTACGCTTCTTTTGGGATCGATAGATGGCGTAATGGCAGGCTGCAACTTCCTCGTTGCTACCCCTTGCATGGTGTCTCATCATGTCTGAAACGACAAGGCCACATAGGGCGTATCGAGGATTCAATATGTGCACCTCTTACAAAACTCATCTTCTGCGTCTCAGGCCAAGCCAGTCGGCTTCGTCCCCAAATGTCTTAACTTCATCTGGATATGGGTCAGTAATTAGACAGCCGCATCGACCGCGAGCTCGTAGACAGGCAGGGCTATGTCCCCTGCATCTCTCGAAGTGGTAGTACTCACATACTTCTCGTCTTGGCAGGGCCACCGGAAACTGAAGGCAGCATCATTTCCGAGTCACCCCAATTATTATTGGAGCGCATTGAAGAGTCGATCTTCTACCAAACATTGCCTCGAAGACATCAGTAACTTGGCCAAGTACGTGTTGCATTATCGCCAAGGCCTACATAATGCAGATCGTGAATTGCTTCGATGGAGTTCTTGGAAGAAGCGTGTTCCGTAAGGGGTAAGCATAGTGCTGAGGTCGATTCAAAATGCCCACTAGTATCTGCAACACCTGAGACCAAACACAAAAATAGACGATGAATTCCTTTCTGGTCGGTGTTCTCCGCATCTCACCAGTGTTCACCGTCTGAATTATGTTAGCTCCTCGCTTCCAACCCAGGTCCTCCCATCCAGCGTACGTATGCATTGCACTAGGCTGCCATTCACGAGTCGTAGTTCTATTGCCGCCGAGAAAGGCTTCGTAAGTGGATGAAAATCCCTTTGGCATGTGAGGTACCCGCGTCGTGGAACTCTTCAAAATACGGTTTATGCATCGCAGCATGGCTTGTATAGGCTGAGGTGGAACATCAGCCGAGCTAGTTTGTCAGTGCAGGGAGAACAGCGTGCCAAGGGACGCCATACATTTGCCTTAAAAGGCTAGTATTCATAGCTAGAGCCCAGAGATTAGGCCAAGTAGCAATGACGATCGGGAATATTTGAACACAGGAGCTTGCAAAACCCCATCTATGATGAAATGATCGCATGTTTGTGGACAAGTTGGGGAGGTGGGAGAGGAAGAAGAAGGAATAGAAAGAACGCATTGGGCTGAGGCCACGTGCTTGAAGTCACGGGCTGCCAAATCATCCTTTCCCTTTCAATCATTTGTCTATTACTCTTCCCGTCTATTGTTCTCATACTATGCTACACCATGGTGGCCTGTTGGTTCCTGTGATATGCAACATTTGTAGTGCATGTTGAGTCTCCCTGCGTTGCTCCTTATGATCTATCCAGACAGTTAATGCGTTCAATCTGCTCTTGACAATTTATTCGTTGTAGTATTACGTGTAGGAGAATATATTGAGGCCGTAGGCTTCCATTATTTACTGATTAATTCTCCCAACAATTTTGTAAAAGGTTTTGAAAAGCCGAGACTAGAAGGTCTCCCATGGTATTTTGTGCTAAGACGTGACACTTCTGACTGCACACACATGCGGCAGCACATGGTCGTTTGAAGCAAAACAAGGTTTGCGTGACCCTATTATTAACTCTCACTGTGATGGGTGTAATCACAGAACCTTCACAGGCTCCCAAGGTTTGAGCCAGCATACCTGGTCACTGATTCCTTCCTCTTGGAAAGCCTGACGCAGCTCTTGTCCAAACTGTGTGAAATGATGCCATGACTCATAATGCATAGGTGCAAGGTAGTCGGCCTTGATTTCGCGGAAGAGTTGAGCGGCCTGCTTGCCATCCATGGTGATCTGATAAGGGGGGCTGCTGGGGTCTGTTAAGTCCGTAGGCGCATGAGCATTACCGAGGTTGACGATCGCAGCACAAACATGAAAGCGTTCTGCCATCTGCTTCAATTCCTCCACGTAAACAGTATCGCCCGAGAAATAGATTGCGTTAGGGAGACCGTCGCGACCATGACCAAAGTCCTCCCCAGTCAAGATAAAGCCGGTACACTCGTTACCATCGACGTGCTTGGTTGGCGTGCCAACAACCCGGAACTTCTTTCCGGCAATGACAACTTCCATTTCTTCCCAAGGCTCGAAGCCATGAACTGCCGGCCGAGAGGAGAGGTTCCTCGCACCGTCAACAGTAGTGAAGACTCGGCGTCCATCAAGCAGGCGGCGACCGAGGTCATCAAGGTTGTCGACATGGTCTTCATGACTGAGCAGAACTGCATCAATGACAGGAAGCTGATCTAGGCGGAGGGCAGGGTCATCCTCCACTTTGAGAGAAAACTTGTCGGTCATAGGGAAAGATGTTCCCGCAGGAGAGAAGAAAGGGTCGGTGAGCATATTGACCCCATTGATCTCAAGTATGGCTGTAGCAGTGCCAATATGAGTGATGTTAAGAGTGGGTGCCATGATTGCTGATGAGCTTGAAAAGAGGGGCTGATTGATGAGAGAAAGACTTGTAGAAAGGTATTGTCTGCCGATAACTGCGCAAGGCACAATATATAGATCTGAATAGCACTTAGTGCTTGGGCATCTGGGCATAACGTGAGTATCTTGTTAAAGAAGAAGGCAAGTCTTCGATGGTCAGTATTTATAGCTGACACTCGCTAAGTGGCACAGCACAAAAGGTTAATATTGTTCACATAATAGACTTCTAATGATATACTCAGCTTGTAAGCTTCTTTTGAAACGAAGGAATCTGATTATTTCGGCATCCCGCCGTCGGTATCCCGCCCTTCGGTATCCCTCCTCATATACGGCAGAGTGGTGGCGAGTCAGATATCTCGGTCGTCCTGTCTCTGAATACAAATAGTTTTTATCAATCCAATACTGGCGTTGGATCGGGGAAAACGTCGGCAGGGTGTGCCGGACAATGGGACGTTTAGTCCGGGAATAATCTCTACGATTAGAAGAATTATGTAGGCCCACGGAAATTACTAGATGGTACTATTTGTATATGAGAAAGGGTTAATAATGAGAACGTTCGAATCTCTTCGGGGATTTTTTTTTGCTGAAAAAATAATCACAAATGGTATTCCAAAATAAGACCTGAAGAGTGGTAATTCATCTGTGGCGTTTCTCCATGTTCAGACCTGGAGCGGGAGACCGAGTGGGATACCGATTGGTATCTAAAATGGGGCACGATTAGTGGCCTGAATACTAATCCTTAATAACAAAAGTCTATAACCGATCCCGAAGTAACTATTCAACTAATACACGTTGCAAAGGTGCTTAGAATACCTGTCAGCCGTTTGGTTTAGGGTTTGGCCGTGGAGCGGGTGCAACAGCGGCCATTTCGGTAACTGCGTCACTTCTTCTCGTCACTTCCCGGCATCCCTCTTACATCCTCGCAAGAACTGAGAGCCCCAGACTAACCAACGAATATGTCACCCCCCAAGCCTACTAAGTCTCATAATCTCTTTCGATGTGGCCATCCAGGTTGTGGTGCAGCATATCAGCGAAGAGAACACTTGAAGAGGCATATTGTGCGTCATAACGAAGGAGAACGCTTCTCGTGTCCTTACTGTGAGAGTACTTTAGCCCGGAGGAATGTCCCATGACTGGAGCCCCTGAACATCTGCCTTTAAAGCTAACTGTAGATCAGCGACCTGTTACGGCGTCATGTTCGAAATTATCACCCTGAGAGAAAGCCTCCACAGACTCGGGCAGTAAAGGCTTGCCAAAAGTGCCATGCTCGAAAAGAACGCTGTGATGGCGGACATCCATGCAGCCGGTGTCAACAACGGGGTTTGAGCTGTTCGCTTGATGTCAACGCAACTGGGGACGAGAAGCAACAGGCGCTTGGAATACAGGAGGATCTGAGAACTGAGTTAAATGCATCAGTTCCCAACGCATCACGGTGGATCGCCCAGGATTTCATAGATATTTACTTCAGCGAATTTCATCCTGTCTGGCCTTTCCTTCATAAAGGAACATTTGACCTTACCAAGGAGCCTTGCATTCTCATACAGTCCATGCTAATGATTGGACTATGGATCAAGGGTGACCGGGAGGGGCGGAAGTCGGCGATGCATTTCCATCACAAATTGCTGTCTGCTATACAGGCACAAAAAGTAGGGATTGTAGCATTATCAGTATTGTCAAACAGGGGCTGACTTCTTCTGATCATAGTCCCGGTGGCATGTGTCGGAGTCAACACCACAGCATATCGAGATGAAACCTTGGCAGATGCCGACATACCAGAGCATTCTTCTCCAGCTTATATTTGCTCTGCTCATAGTTAAGCAGGAGGCGACTTTTGACCTGAACCTTCGTTGTCACCTACCATCATCCAAGTACGAACTACTCACATCGCTCGTGGAAACCTGTCGGCAGCTGGGATTGTTCTCGTATCCGAATATGCTAGCTCAGCATCCCCTTGATGCGCCAGTAGCTCTCATCTGGGTAAGTGTGGAAGAAGCTAAGCGATTCGGGTTGGCCCTTTATAAGTTATGTCGGCTATGTGGGCCAAAACAGCTAGTCGATTCTGATGGACAAAGTCACGGTGGCTCACAAATGAGTGCACTTCTTACGCTCGCAGATCTGGACTTTAGCATGCCAGACAGTGATGAGATGTGGAATGCGTCATCGGAGGGACGGAGAAGCATCCTACAAAATATGACTTTACAGCGCTCTTTTAGAGATAACCGCGACACCAGTGGCTGGATATCCCAAGCATCTGCCCACTTGCACGATGATTATGTTAATTTTGATTGGATTTGACAATGCCCGCTTCTCTTCCACACCATCAGAACGGTCGCATTAGCAGAAGAGATAGCCTATGTCGCTGTCTTTGCATTGGAATATTGGGGCTTGAACCAGCCAGTTCAAGGAAGAAAAGGTAGGGAACTGAGGAATGGGGTTTCATGACAGGAGATAATCAAGACTTATATTGATTGCAGCTATATGCATTAAGGTTTCGCTGATAAGGCCGGGGTGTTCCCCGCGTGGCCTATAAATGGCTTCGGATAAACCACTCCTTCCTTCTCCGCAGCCATTCCTCTCCATCTCATGGCGCCCTCCTTCATCTCTCGCACCCGGACAGGCTGCCGGGCTTGTAGGGCCCGGAGGGTAAAGTGTGATGGTACGATAACTCACCTGCGGATTGAATAGCCTCTGTAAGCTAATGCATACCAAAGAGAGCCATCCCGTCTGCCGTCGCTGCGCGCGAAACAACCGGGGCTGCGAATACAGCTTTCAGTTGACTTGGCTTGACGAATCGATCGCCAAGGGCGTCTGTCATGGAAGGACCGGAGTATGGTCGAAAAATGGCCGCAAGAGAATGGATGTCTCAAATGAGCACGACCTGGCCAAGACGCCGCGACATCCTACGCCTAGAAGTTCGCACCAGCAGTGGATGTTCTTAAACACGTCCGCTGACGACGTGAATCGCCTCTGTGTGGAATACCATAGGGGTTATGGCGGGAACCCGCTCGGTCATCCACGGCGGCTGCTACTATCACCCGCAATGAATACAATGCCAGTCACGGCCCTGAATCGATCTAGCGAGGATCCCATGCTGCTGGCATTCTTTGAGACAGTCATTTGCAGCAGCTCAACCCTGGTCGACAATGTACAATCCAATCCATATCGATACTTAATCTTGCCCATGGCTCTTAGTTCTGATGGCATCTATCATGCGGCATTGGCCATTTCCGCAAATACCTTGCGTCTTTCCCAAGTGCAGTATCGCGTCCCTGCTCTGGAACACCATCACCGTGCGCTACTCCACCTCCAGTCTCTTCTAGATCAGGGTAGTTGGTCAGACCGGGAGATGGATGTGATATTGGGGCTTGTTCTGATGCTCTGTTGGTTTGAGGTATTGAGAATATCCAACTATAACACACCAATTCAAACGTGAGAGTTGACAGCATTAGATTTCAGATCATAGTCGTTCATCGTGGGTGACTCACCTTTATGGATTCCAGAATGTCATGTCTGCACGAAAGAAACGATATTGGAAAACATCGTCGCAGCACAGCCAGGAGCTTCTTGGTTTCTTCGACCGTTACTATGTCTTTCACCTCGTTCTTGCCCGAACGGCCTTTCGATGGGATTGTCCACGAACGCACCCATGTCCTTCTGCCCTGCCTTCGAGTCCATCCTCGAATGTTATTGACCCTTACATGGGATTTAGCCACACGCTGCTTCTCATGATAGATGAAGTTACTGACTTAGCATGGCAAGAGCGTGAGCTGGACATTCAGAGCGCATATAGACTGAAGCACTCGTTGGAGGTGCTCCGTCAGACGCCACCTCATGCGGATATCGACCTGCACTCAGGGCAAGAATGTATGGTCATTGCTGAAGCAAATCGCTTGGGCGCAATTTTGCTCCTGTACGAGATATGTTCGTCTTCTACGTCAACTTTTTCGGGTCCACCATTCACCACTGAGGAGAAATGCCGCTATGCTCGTCAGATTCTCAAACTCATACAGGCGCACAAGTCCAACATGAGGCGCACTGCAGTGATCCCTCTATGGCCTCTCTTCCTAGCAGGTTGCTGTGTCTCGGATGATAACGACAGGGTCGTTGTTCTGCAGATCTTCCAAGAGTGGGAGGCCATTCGTCGGTTTGGCGTACGTCTATCCACCCATATATACCAATCCACAGGCTAATGGTTTAGAACATAACACCGGCAAGAGAAGTGATAGAGATGGTTTGGCGACGCCGTGACCTCAACCTAAATGCAATTGCTAATGACGCCATGTCAGGGGAGACAGCGCGCTTTGAATGGGAACATGCGATGACGATGCTTGGAGGGTGGAAACTAGCGCTAACATAAAGACATTAATTTTAGCATGTGTTGTTTGCTAGTTTCGTTGACTATTACAATCTCGGCCCCCTCTCACGGGTTTTACGTCCCTTCCATCCTGTCAGGTCACTCAACTCCAATTCGGGGTCCTGATGGGCTAGAATTTTCGCGGTCACCGTCTGGCCTGCGCGCCATTGCCACTGCAGGGCAATGTCGGACTCTAAATTTCCTTCCAGCAAGTCGGCAATGTACTTGCCCAGCACGGGCAGGAACTTGAAACCATGCGCTGATCCCCCGGAAGCCATGTACAGTCCTTGATGATTAGGGTGCGGTGAAATCAGAAAGTGGCGGTCAGCGGTATCAGCGTCCCAGCAAAGACGGGTATAACAGAATGGACGGTCGGCGAGCTCCGGTAGGACACGACGAAGGTTACGGCGCATCTGAGCTTCGACCTCCAGCGGGAGATCATCTTGCGGGTTGTCCACAAAGGTGTGCGGAACAGATGACTTGTTTCCGGACCGTGTATCCGTCTGCATGTTCGTGATGAACTGGCTATGCGCCATCTTGAACACCCCATCTGCCTGCGGCGGAAAAAAGTAGCCCAGCTCCAGATTATCCATAATCGGAAGTGCGGAATAATGAGCTGTCTCTGCCGGGGCGAGTTGTATATGCGCCACACTGTGGCCTTTGGCAGTCAACTGGCCCGCCACGTCCAGCAATGTTGGCGTCCAAGCTCCGGCAGCCACCACGACCAAGTCAGCAACATGCGTTGAGCCATCAGCCGTGATCACTCCCGTACAATGCTTCTCCTCATCGAACAACAACCTCTTGACCCAGCCCTCTTCACCAGAGATATACTCCACCCCTTGCTCCTGCGCTGCGACGGCCATGCGCCGTAAGGCTTCCCCGGCCGCCGCCCAGCCAGCCGTCGGATTCCAGACGTTGATATTCCACCCATCCAATTCGCCCGTCACAAGGGGGAACCGCTCACGGATCTGCTGCGTCGACAGGCGTTCCAATCCTTCAACTCCGAGCTTGGTGCACGTCTCGATCGACCCTTCCACAAACGCGCACGACAGCTTGTATGCGCTCAGAACCCAGCCAGGGACATGGTACAGCCCACGAAACAAATCCGAGGACTTCCAGGCGGCAATCGCCTCAATTCCCAAACGTGCATACAGCGGCTCGTTATAGTCGCTGCGAATGATCTTGCTGATATCGGTTGAGGCGGCCTCGCAGGATGGCGCAGGATATCGATCCAGCACGCGAATGGACGTGAAACCGCGCTGGGCGAGATGATAAGCAGTCGAAGTACCGAAGCAGCCAGCTCCGACGATGAGGATTCTTGTGTTTCGGTCCATGGTAGCGTAGCCAAGTATTAGAATGGTTCTGGTTCACACCTTCACTCCTCAACTGAAGTATTTATCTAGTTATGAGTATCGAGCAAAAAAGCTACAAACCAACCAACTACAGTAATCCAGAGACCCTCGGAATAGTAACTAGCCAGAACCCCTCCATTGTCAATCACTCGGAGAGTAGTTAGTTAGTATCCGCGTCGCACCGACCTGCCTTCCCCTCAACCATCATTAACCCCCTTCCCCGGGGATACTAGTAGCGCAATCCCTTATCACGATAAAGCTCCTCCCAGCAGATAGCAAGATAATCAATCCCCGCAACAGAGGACAGATTCGCACGAAGTAAATCAGATAAGAACCCAAAGAGCAAAAAACAAGAGCCAGCAGACCTCGTTCCGACCTTCCCTCCCGCCCGTTTAATCATACCTACTTTTATCATCTGCAAGGATCCATCCTGCTAACTAATTCCCCACTTTGGATTCATGGGTTAATATGATAGGGTGGGTATAGGACCGGCGTATGTATACGGCTATGCAGTGCAGTGCTATCTGGTCGGTAGGTATTTTGAGTGTTAGTAGGGGGTTCTTATCGGTTAGATGTTGGGATTTGGGCCACATGATTCGTTTGTCTCGGGGTTTACCCCGCTCGTTGATATCTAGGTGGTCATTGGATGGGTTGATCATACTACTAGTACTGAGTAATACTACTCGTAAAGCGGAGAAGGGATTATTTGGAGTAAGTGGGTTTGAGAAGTGGTTGGTATGATGTAGGTACCGTATATTGTTTTTTTTTCTAGTGATTGGGGTAAGTAGTGATCACGAATGAGGGTGTAGCCAGATTCTAATGTTAACAATTACTAGTAATAGTATTATTCTTCACAATGTCAATACTAGTTCAAAATCTATAATTGCACTAATATGTATATCGGAACGATGTCTTCTCTTTATCCGTTAGATCCGAAAATGCCGCATCCTCCATGACAGTAACAGACTGCTGCTCCTGTTCACGATCCCGTCGCTGGTTCTCCCATCTACAGAGTACGCCGTAGGCTGAGATCGCGACGATCGCAACAACCAGACAAGCCAGCAAGCCCTCGTATCCGTGCGAGTAACTCGGGGCATCCGTGGAGCGAAAGACCTGCGGACCGATGATGTTTCCCACGCAGTATGCGATAAAGAAGATAGCATTTAGAGTCAGTTTCTTCGAGTGACCGCTGGTGTTGGCCATAGGGAGCGAAGTGGATAGCACGTAGGGTGCCCAGTAGGTGTAAAAGACGTAGTAGGAGGCGAGGAGGCCGTGCTTGTCGGAGCGGGGCAGTTTCCACATGAGGATGGCACAGGTCATAGGGACTAGGTTTGAGACGGCGATGATGAAACAGCGGGAATTGGGCACACGGGAGGCGAGTAACGAGAGCAGGATCTGCCATACGGTGGCGAGGACACCGGTGGGGATGCCTAGGACGGTGGTGATCAGGGAGGAATAGCCGAGTCCGGTGACGATGAGGGCGGAGAAGGTGACGAGGCCGCCGTTGGGGATGTTCTGGGCGAGCGAGAACAGAGCTAGGAGCCATGTCTTTGGGTCGAGGAGACATTCACGCACTTGATACCATTTGATGGTTTTATCTTCCATACCCGTGTTGTTGTCTTTGACGCGCTCGAGGCAGACGAACTTTTCGCGGTCGGAGAAGTACCAGCATTGGACTGGAGAGTCTGGTAGGAAGATGTATAGGACGCCTGACCAGAGGATGGAGAATGCACCGAGGACAAGGAAGAGTAGTCGCCAGGGGTGTAGTGCGGTGTGGGTGTGTCCGATGCCGTAGCTGACGACTCCAGAGAAGACGGACGACAGCTGGTTGAACCAGAAGGCTACCCGGAGAGGTTGTTCACTCGTTTTCTACCACATAACTGTCAGAATGCTGGAGATGGGAAACACCGATGCCTCGAGCATGCCCATGAGGAAGCGCACTGTCGCCAGACCTGCAAAGTTCTGCGTAGCGGCCGTGCACAGCATCATGACTGCCCAAGCGAAGACCATTCCCACGTAGAGTTTGGCTACGGGGAGCCGCTGGATAAGTAGCGCAGCAGGGTACTCGAAGAGCAGGTAGCCAAAGTAGAATATCGAGCCCACCCAGGAATATTGGTTGCCGGTGAGATGGGTATCAGTTTCCATACCGTAGATAGCGGCATTAGAGATGATGACCTTGTCGACTGCGGCGAGCACGCAAGTGACCATGATTAATGGGATCAATATCAAATCAATCTTCCACAGCACGCGTCGCGCCTCTGCGTCGGAGATGGGTGCCGCCATGATGGCGGGATCGAGCTGGGCGAGAAACTGCACTGCAACATCTTCATCTTGCCCCGACCGATGGTCGAGGATGTCCATCTGGCCATGCTTAATCTTCTCCTCATTGGAGGCGCTGCTGTCGAGGCCAGGTTTCTTCTGGTCGGTAGTCATGACGGCCAGTGTAGCATCTGCATTGATGAGGTGGGAGAAGCACCCTGACCATGTCGTCGAGTGTCAGTTTTATAGCGTCGTATAGATGCACCTGATAACAACGTCGGCATTTGTTATCAGAACTCCAGGCCCCGGAAGGCTAAGGCGAGGGGAAGGTCGGAGCGAGGCCGACAACAAAGTACCGTTAAGGTCCCATGATAGGGCACGATAAGATAGCGCCGGCATTGGAGTGAGTGCTGTTGGAGATGGATGCCGGAGCCCACTCTATAAAGGTCATGCCGGCCGTTGGGAGAAACAGTTCAGTGCAGATCTTCTGACGATATTCAATCAATAATCATGTCTTCATCGAAACTCAATATCAAAATTGCCATTGGTGAGTTACACGGCCTGAAAACGGGTGACCGCAAAGCTGACATTTGTAGACCGTGGTGGCACGTTCACTGATTGTCTGGGGATTGTAGAAGGCCGCAAGGAAGACATTGTCGTCAAGCTGCTTTCGCAAGATCCAGCCAACTACGCAGACGCCCCGATTGAAGGCATCCGCCGGATTCTCGAACAAGCAACCGGGAAATGCTTTCCCCGCGACCAGAAACTCACCACATCGGATTTTGGCAGCGTCAGTATCCGTATGGGAACGACGGTAGCCACGAATGCTCTGCTAGAGAGAAAAGGAGAAAGAGTGGCGCTTCTGATCACAAAGGGTTTCAAGGATGCACTTCGCATTGGGACTCAGTCGCGTCCTAAGCTCTTTGCTTTGAACATCCAGCGACCCGACGTGCTTTATGAAGATGTGGTCGAGATCGATGAGCGAGTCACTATAGAGGGCTATCAACAGAATCCTGTTCCAGATAAGGAACGCCTTGAAGCGGCATTGGAGACAGACCCTTACCTGAAGAAGGGGGTCAGTGGAGAGGTCATCCGCGTCTTAGAGCCTCTCGACGAGGCGAAGACGAGACAGAGTTTGCAAAAGCTTTTCGATGAGGGATATCGCTCCATTGCTGTCTGTCTCGTACACTCGTATACATTCCAAGAGCATGAATTGGCGATCGAAAGGATTGCCAACGAGATTGGGTTTACGCAGATCTCGCTGTCTAGTCAGCTGCTTCCCATGATAAAAATGACCTCTCGAGGCGCTTCAGCTACGGCAGACGCCTACTTGACGCCGGTGATCCAACGATATATCCAAGGTTTCCGATCCGGCTTCCAAGATGGGTTACAATCGTCAGATACGCGCTGCGATTTCATGCAAAGCGATGGTGGTCTGGTAAACGCTCAAAAGTATTACCTTCTTCCCATCTATATAGCCCGAGTTAAGCTCACTGTGTTTAGGTTCTCCGGTTTGCGCGCAATTTTGTCAGGCCCCGCAGGTGGTGTTGTAGGCTACGCAGGCACCTCGTTTGACCCAGAAGACCGTAAACCTGTTATTGGGTATGTCTCATCCCGGGCGACAGATTGAGGAGGATACTCGCTGACCGAATAGCTAGGTTTGACATGGGCGGCACCAGTACTGATGTCTCACGGTATGACGGCAAGCTAGAACATACCTTCGAGAACACCATCTCAGGAGTGACAGTGATGGCTCCGCAGCTAGACATCAATACAGTAGCGGCTGGTGGTGGCAGCATTCTGTTCTGGCGGCACGGGCTCTTCGTAGTCGGACCAGAATCTGCAGGCGCACATCCAGGGCCAGCTTGCTACCGCAAAGGAGGTCCATTGACTGTGACTGATGCAAATTTGTTCCTGGGCCGCCTGCTCCCAGACTATTTCCCCAAGATCTTTGGGCCTAACGAGAACGAGCCCCTTGACGTCGAGGTCACTCGTCAAAAGTTCACGGAACTGGCAGATAAGATCAATGCAGAGACAGGTCACCGGAAGACACCAGAGGAAATTGCGCTGGGATTCATTCAAGTTGCAAACGAATCTATGGCAAAGCCCATCCGGGCATTGACCGAGGCACGAGGATATGACACTTCAGCACATAACCTGGCCTGTTTTGGAGGAGCAGGTGGGCAACATGCATGTGCAATTGCATCGTCATTATCCATAAAGACCGTCATAGTCCACCGTTATTCGTCGATTCTCTCCGCATATGGTATGGCTCTTGCTGATATCGTGCATGAGGTCCAGGAACCTGCGTCTGGAGCTCTTAACGTGAGTGCAATGGAAATAATTTATGGCCGTATTGAGGCTCTCAAGGCAAAGGTCACCGAAGCCTTGACCGCAGACGGTATTGAGGAGACTCACATACAGTATGAAGTGTACCTTAATCTCCGCTACCAAGGAACCGATAATACACTGATGGTCCTTAGACCGGATTCCGGAGACTATGGGGCAGCATTCACTCAAGAGCATCAGCGCGAATTCTCCTTCACCTTCCCACGTCGCAATATTCTAATCGAAGATATACGTGTACGTGGAGTAGGCAAGGCCATTTCGGTCCCCCCAGAGGCGCCGCAGCCCGAGTTGCGATCTATTGCGACATTAACCATCGGAGAAGAAAGCCGGGACGATTCCACAGAGGTGTACTTTGCAGGCGTCGGGCGTGTCGCCACGCCAGTCTTCTTCTTAGAGCACCTGAAGCCAGGCAGCTTCATCCAAGGACCAGCCATGATCATCGACAAGACACAAACCATTGTCGTTGAACCCCATGCATCGGCCACTATCTTATCTCGCCATGTAATTCTGAATGTTCAGTCAGTCAAGAATCAACTCGACAACGCAACGGTGGTCGACCCAATCAAGCTTTCAATCTTTGGTCATCGATTCATGTCGGTTGCCGACCAGATGAGCCGGATGTTTCAGAAGACATCCGTCTCAACCAACATTAAAGAGCGGTTGGACTTTTCCTGTGCAGTATTTTCACCTGACGGAAAACTTGTGGCGAACGCACCTAATGTTCCTGTTCATCTCGGCAGTAAGTGCTGCTTTCCTATACTTCTCAGCGACAGCTGACTTGGGCCATTTTCAGGTATGGAGTATGCTGTGCGGTATCAGCATGAACAGTATGGCGGAAACCTGACACCAGGAGACCACATTCTCACCAATCATCCACTTGCTGGCGGAACGCATCTTCCGGACATAACTATCATTACTCCTGTCTGGGATCAGCAAGGCAGCAAGATCATCTTCTATGTCGCCTCTCGAGGCCATCATGGTAAGCAACACCGCTTGTTGATGGGATAGTCATGTCTAACTATAATTGCAGCCGAAATCGGAGGAATTGCGCCAGGGTCTATGCCCTCAGACAGTAAAATGTTATATGAGGAAGGTGCCATGACCATGGGTTTCAAGGTGGTATCACAAGGTCGTTTTGACGAAGACATGGTGCGGAAGTTTTTAAATGACGAGCCAGCCTCGTACCCAGGTTGCAGTGGCACTCGCACTTACAAAGACAATGTCTCCGACCTGAAAGCAGCTATTGCAGCCAACCAGAAGGGTGCACAGTTGCTGGAAGGTCTCGTTCTAGAGAACACGCTTGATGTAGTCCACTTCTACATGGACGCCATTAAAAAGAATGCTGAAACGGCAGTACGAGAGCTGCTTAAGACTATTGGCAAGAAGGCTGCTGACCAGCCCCTCCGCTTTTCTGACTTCATGGATGATGGTACAGAGATTAGATTAGAGATCCGCATCGACGCAGAGACCGGATCTGCCGAGTTCGACTTTACTGGCACCGGGCGAGAGACGTTCAACTGCCTGAATGCCCCCAAAGCAATCGCCCACTCGGCAATTATTTACAGCCTGCGCGCCCTTATCGATGTTGACATCCCATTGAACCAAGGCTGTTTGGCGCCGATCAACGTTATCATTCCTTCCGGCACGCTTATCAATCCATCTGGGTATGCGGCCGTCTGCGCCGGTAATCCTATCACATCGCAGCGTATCACGGATGTCGTCCTAGGTGCCTTCCAAGCCTGTGCAGCCTCGCAAGGATGCTGCAATATCATCTCATTCGGAATGGGTGGACTAGACGAAACTGGCAACGACATCCCGGGCTTCGGCGTCGGCGAGACCATATGTGGTGGTTCTGGCGCCGGTCCAACCTGGAATGGTACATCCGGTGTCCATGTCCATATGACCAACACTCGGATCACCGATGCAGAAGTGTACGAGCTGCGATACCCGGTTATTTTGCGACAGTTCTCTATCCGCAAGGGGTCTGGTGGCAGGGGACTTTACCGCGGTGGAGACGGTGTGGTTCGGGAACTGGAGTTCCGCATTCCCCTGTCGGCCTCTATGCTGAGCGAACGTCGCGTTTATCGCCCATATGGGCTGGCAGGTGGTGAGTCTGGCCAGGCGGGATTGAATCTGTACGTGAAGAAAGAGCTGGATGGGACTGAACGAACGATCAACATTGGTGGAAAGATGGAGCTCAAAGTGCAGCCTGGAGAGCGTATTATAATTCACACGTAAGTAGAGGAGCTTACCTTTCCATCGTTTTACGCTTGGCTGACATGAGTACTAGTCCTGGTGGAGGTGGCTGGGGAACGCCATCCGATGGGAACGCCATACCCATCTGTAGTGGTAACAGTTTGGAGGAGAATCGGGTAGTATTCGAAGCACGGGGAAGTGTTCACAGTTTCAGTGCCACTGCTGAAGCATCTTTATAGTCACTTATATTGGTTGATGAGGGTGAGAGTCCTGCGGTTTCATAGAGCAGCTTGCGAGGCGAAGTGTATGAACAAGAGGGACGAGTACATTGGGGGTGTAACCGGCGATCATGTGATTACCATTTCGATATATTGACTTGTAACATGCCTATTTCATTGTGCTTCTTCTTCAAGGGTAGGATAGTCAATCTGGACCGTAGGGGACATGGGGACACAAGCAGGTGGAGTCTCTGCTAGAAATCACCAATCAAGTCATCGCAAGGATGGTATTCTTGAAGAATATCTTGCTCTCCATTGCTCTCTCGAGAGGCACCCTCTAGTAGTCTCGAACAATAAGTTGGATATGCCTGTAAATTGGCCGTATCCTGGTTCAGACAAGTGGGGTCTAGT